GTCGACTAACGAGAACAAAACAATGAACCAGCGTCCAGGTAGGCTACTGTGATCACTTGACCTAATTTTACCAGCAAGAAGTCTTGATATAGCGTAGAAAGTGTATTTTACAAACACCCAGCCAGCATACAATGAATCCAAGCACTGAAATTGCGTTTATTTATACTCTATAGAGACGTCCTTGGGACAGTCAAAAAGACAGAACACTGAATGACACAGCAACCAATCACAGCCAAGGATTTTCCTGGTGGGGAACGTGATTTCAAGGTCAACTGATCGGCCAATGAAGTAAATCCAAAATAAAGATATTTATCAAGCGAGTTCTGGGGATCTAACATCCCAACACCAAATCGAAGCGATTAACTATTATTATTATTATTATTATTATTACCCAACTGATAAAAATAATTCGAACCCGGGACCTTCGGTCTTCGTATCCTGCGAGGTGCGGAAGTCGTGGATGCACACTGCTGATGAGTCCCACACCAGGACAAAGCGGCCGTCCAGTGCTTTTAGGTTTCTAATGGTGGTCTAACAATGATTGATTGATCATTTCAAATGTGTAAAAACACTTACCTCCATAACTCTAATTGAAAATGTTTTAAACGTTGTTAAATGCCCAGACAATTTATTTCATAGAGACTCAATAGGTAAATTTATACAATTAGTTGACTGAAACTCCAAATGTCTGCAAACGAAGTCAGTCCAATGATTTTCAAAACTAGAGCATTTTAGGATAATGAATTCAACCGTTAAGGTGAATGAATATACACTTCAAGGAATGAAAGAATAGACTGCATGAATAAGTTTTACTTTAGTTGTAAAATGATGATAAGTCGTAAATCTTTCTAAAAAATAGAAGAAAACTTGACGTTGAATCAAAAAGTGAATGTACTATTTTCAACCCTATTATAGCTGAGGATTTCTTTGCGATTACAGAGGTTTAAATAATAATCAGATTGATTAACAAATCAGATACGTCATTGGAACCAAAGAATATGAATCACTTGAGGATATTAACAATGACTGATTCATTAAAAATTGTAAAAATTATCTGTAAACATAGAAGTAGAAAATTAACATTGAAGTAACAATTACACCACGTGATTTGATCTTCAATCCTCTCAAGACCCTGGAGGCATTCTCTGAGGAAATACAAATTTGAAGGATAAACATGTTTGTGTGGGTTGAACTTGTTAGCTTATGTAATATTTAGTATTACAACTACTTAGTAATCCAATACATCTTCAGTAAATCGATATTTTTAAAAGACATTTGGCTTCATGATGAAATGGTTATTACTTTCGAAGCATATTCTCATTTTTCTAGTCTTTCTCATTTTCATTGCTACTACATTATTTTGATTTATTTTACTGTTGTTATTTTCATTTCATTTATTTTATCGTGACCTGACATAAGTGTAAGTGAAATTTCTAGGAGTTCATGTATGAATTCACGGATATCTATGATAAACCACTCAAAGCATTTACATTACATTTTGTTGTTTGATTAATGTCTCATCGTAACACTATTCTGATAAGATGTATATACATACTTATGAATTTTAGACCTGGCACCAACATCACGTTTTGCTTATGGATTATTGAATAAACTTTTGGATTATGTTGATTCCGCCATGTCATCAGTTCGTGAACCAATGCCTAGTACACGTTATAGTACTAGTCGTTCATGGTTAAGTTCAAGTCAAGATATGAAATTCTTTGTTAAAGTTGTATTACCACTAGTTGAACGGTATTTTGAAACACAACAGGCGTACTTTTTAGATCCAGTAGCAGGTGCTTCAATTGATGAAAAGAAAATGGCTGCTACGTATGTTATTGAATATTTTGTGAATTTTAATTCTAATTAACTTTTTCCCATTAATTTCCCTTTTTAAATTGCATTGCATGTTCAAATCTAACTAGACAGTTTATAATCTGTGCATAAATTACTACAAATAGAGTACTTTTTAGTTTTGCTCAGATTATTGAAACCTTATTTATACTACTTTCACTAAAGATTTTACAACTAAATAAAATATCCGTTTTGTAGACCTTTACTAGATACATAAATACATAGTGCCTATGATAAATAGTGAATATTTTATGCAGTTACTTTTTCCAACTTCTCAGTTCTGATATAATTCGTTTGTATACTAGGTGTGGATGAATGTGTATATAGTGAAATGAATCTGTACAAAGCTATGATCAATCCAAACATTTTTAGGTAAATTTTTATGAAAAATTAAGTTAGAACTATGATATCAAAGCTGTTCTTCATAGTTTAGATTTTTAATTTAACAGAGGGTCGAAATATTATAGTTACATCTGAATATACAGTTTAGCTTCGATAAAGTTTATTCAACGGTTATAACTTCGGTATACATTTGACTACGGGTTACACAAACCGCAGACTGAGAGTAATGGTCATACGGATCAAATAGTTCATAAATGTGAGTTCATTCATCTGTTTACAAAATGAAATGAGTTGATAATAGAAGGCAGTACCTTTTCCATTCAAGCTGATACGGCATGTGTGATTGAAATGCTTCAATAATATATTTAGACAACTACTGGCATAGAAGTTAACTTTTCGTAACATAAGTTGTTTATGACTTATCAAAAAATTAGCCTAATCAAAAAAATTATACTCATGCATAAAGTTCAAATTTAATAAGATACAATTTTTTCTAGTTTATAAGTCTGTATCTAAGAGATTTTTAATCAAACTATTTAAAGTAATTTAGATTATTACTGATTCAGCTTTAAAGGATCTAGTTACCGTTTGGAAATAATATTTAAAAGTGTATAACTGAATAGTGCAAAATGCCGAGGAGGATATGCATGAATTTCCAAAAGTTTCCAAATGTGTATTCTAATATCAACAAGTGTTAAAAACATAAAACCATCGAAGTCATTCATCGAAATCTAATCATAGTTCAGGTATTTGTTTTTTGTTGTTGTTGAATTCTGTTCATCATTCTTTAAGCGAATAAATACAAACCAGTTAAAACTGAATGTTTTGATCATTGAACTGATTAATTAAACTTAAAAACTAATATTTTAATTAGATCTTAATCTTTATATTCATTTGTCTTAGTTTTTTTGTTTACATAAAATTTATGTGTTTAGTTTATTCTGTAAACTCTTCTCATTACTTCGAATCAAATTAAACACATTTGGCCATGATGTAAAAATAGCTGTATCTTGTCTTCAAGGTCTTGTGCAAACAATTGATGTAAAGTAAGTTGATTTATAATCTACTTATTTGAGTAAATGAATAATTAGTAATGAATATCAGTAACTAATATATATACCTTTTGAGAGGGAACGTGGTAGGGTTGATCAACTAGATACCGGTAAAACAACAAGCGACAAATACTTAAGTGTACATGATATTGACAAAAGACTTAAATTCGTCTTATGCAGAAATGTGAGGAAGCTACTGGATAGAAATAAAACCTTATTACTGAGGAATGTGTTATGATTTCTTAACCTATTCTTCGCTTCGTTAGCCAGTAATAACTTTCTACTCACTCTTAGCCTTCTTACTCAGTTAGCTAACCGATTTGTGCACCTATTGTTCGTACATTCAATCTAGGATAATGTAAAATTTATCTGCTTAGTAATAAGTAACTTCAAAGTGACATTTTCCTTAAAATACCTATTCTATAACATAATAAGAGTAAAGTGAATCACACTGTTTTTGCAGCTTTCGTTATCTGGAATGAAATATGACGTCTTAATAACCACACCTGAAACAGGATCAGCGATGTTCACTTCATAATTCATCGAAGGTTAAAATTGTATAATCATCCAGCATCTATAGTTTCCAATCCTTCTTCATCTAGGGTGATATAGTATTAAAAAAATTAGATTTTCGATTAAACAGTTTGCCTAACAAAATTAAAAAAATAACTATTTTTATCATACTAATGGGAACCTATTGTAATTTTTGTTGTCACTAGTTCTTTATTCCGATCGATTTCATTTTTCATTTAATTAGAGCTATTTTGAAAATGGGTACTGCAGAAGATTTTGTTCGAAGTCGTATTCTACCGTTTTTTGTTAATGCCGCTGACGATTTATGCATTGTAGTTCGCAATCTTGACGCTAGTCGATATTCACATGTAAAAGTAAGCAATTATTTATGCTCGATAATTAACAATAAACAATGAATTTTTGCAAAGCAAAAGCCCTTTAGGGTTTACTTTCTATGAGTTCCACTCATGGAGTTACTTTTTGACGTAGAGAATCAAGTCGATAATTTAAAACAATTAGTCCCTTTTATAAATTTTGACATAACAGTGAGAAAACGTAATTGATCTGAAAAATGTGATGTATTTGCGCTATACATATTTCGAACAATCTGGTTACACATATACTTGTCAAAGCATTTTATATGAAGGTTAATAAAAGGTCAATTAAATAAAAGGTCAAATAGACAGAAAGTGACAATTGTAAATGAAGGAGAGAGAAAATTGACGTAATATAGAAAGAATGAGAAAAGGTAGGAAATTGTCACATTACCCTAGGCTTAAAGATTACCACAGTAAATTCAAAGTTATAGCAAATTGTTTCTGTACACATAGAGGGATCTAAGTAACGAATAGCTAAGGCTTCCGTAAACCTAAAAATTTCGTCCTTCAATGTTTCAAAACAATGTTTTGAATGCTGTCTAACAATGTCTAACAACTTGCCTTCACTTAGTATATTATGTCTTGATATTAAATTTATAGATAAATATATGAATTTAATAATCAATATATTCTTTTCCTTCTTTTTTTCTTAATTAATGAAAATAGGGTACAATTAAACGTGGTGCATGTTCAATAGATTATATTCACATGGTATTATTACCAGTGCTGAAATCAATGTTTGAACATTTGGGCAAAAATGAATGCGGTGAATATCTACTAGGTAATGCTGATAAGTTTATGTTCATCTGAATATTATTGTTATCAGAAAAATAAAGTCTTGGGTGTACACCACTGAGGAATCCCATGATACAACTAAACAGCCGTCTAGTGCTCTTGTCTAACTCTGATCAGCCTGAAATGTCAACTATAAGAATTCAAGAATTCCCATGTATACTGATGACCATGAGATACATTTGTGAGAAGTTATGACTACAGTAGTTCAGCTATATCGAGTTAGCGATAGTTATCCACCGTAAATAATGTTAGATGGTCGAGAAATATTGTGAATCGACTGAACCTAGACTTGTACACTATTGGGTTCTGGCTAAGTGGTCCAGAGGTTAAGCTCTTCATGAGACCAATATTTCTGGGTTCACTTCCCTGTGGCGGGTCGCCGCTTTACGATTCTGAGGATCTATACCCTAGGACCGAAAAGCCCTAGGGTGCTTCTTGGTTTCCAATGATTGTTTAACAGCGAGCGGTCCGTTATGTAGCTAGGAAAATTTATCAATAGCCACAAGTCTCCTTCATAGCGAAAACAAATTCACAATCAAACAACCAAAAACTCATTAGCCATTATTCATAATTATCCGTCGTAATTATTCACAAACAAGTAATGAACAAGCTTCTTTGAAATTATTCAGTAGATAGACAACATATTATGTATACATTCATATTATACTATTTGAAAAAAATTAGTTACACACGTAGAATGAAGTAATCTACTCATGGCATATCTGAAACGAAACTTACTATATTGCATATTGTTGCTAGTTTGATCCTTGTACTTTGTTTGATTGTATTCAGTCACACAATTAACTGTTACACTTTTGATTGCTATAAATGCATCACATTTTCTTTCACACTTTGTTGTTTCTGTGTTATTCATATTCAACTAATTCAAGTGAAAGGGAGAGCTCAAAATTAAAACTGATAAATATTTTTTTGTAGAACAAATGTACATGAAACGAGTACGGCAAACAATCTTAACCGATCATCAAACATATGATCATTCATAAACGACTTATCATTGCAATTTTTAACCTAAATTGTGGCACTGCGTACATGCTAACATAAACAGTATATAATAGTGTAAAATTTTAACTTCCTTATTTTTAGTGCCTTTGAAAATCCTGTCTTCCTAGTAAAAAATGTTAACTATATTTGTTTCCTTTCTTTATCCTCTCTAGTGGGTAATGTCCAAGTGACATGTTACAGAATACTCAATGCTTTATATAAATTAGGCACTACATCATCGAAACATGCAAATCGGTGAGTTTATGTAATGATGAAGTTATTTTTTATAGAAAGTTTCATATTACTTCATTGAAATTCAGTTTAGATATATCATTTAAGTGTAATAGCTTATTGTACTATATCAGTGATTCGTTGAAGTTGAAATTCAAGTACAGTGAATTCCAACTCAATGATTAGAAGATAACGCTGTTAGTATGAGGCATCAGCGTTCTAGATCCTATTTCTAACAGAGTCTTAGGTCCAAACGTTTCTGGAACTCCATAGTGTCACTCAGTTGTCACTGGCGTCTCCAAGTAAGCCAATCTCTAGTGAAAAATGTCTACGTAATTCAATATGAATATCGAAGCGATTCGCATAGGATGCCTATATACCAACCAAGGCTAATCAAATCTCAGTCAGAAATATCAACAGCGGAACAAACCAAGCTAATCGTAATTCAATTATATCGCTTATTCGTTTTACAAGTAAGTAGCTATCTGGAGTCCCGAAAAGGACAAAACACTCATCTTGGATACCACTGCCAGTCACATTCCATTTGTTCTTTATCAACTTGTCCACATAGTATAAATCTTGTTCGTCACTCTGATACGACTACAAACCCTAGATAAATATCCCAATTATGTTACTTATTTAATGTCGGAAATATAATAATTTTCAATACTCTTCAACAAAATAAAACAAATAAATGAATATCACCAAACTATTTAGAATAGTCTTAGTCAGCATTAATTGACCTTTGACCAAAGTATAATTTAAATTTGATTGAAATCTGGCATTTTTCTGATTTGTGGGACATAATACCGTCTAATTAGTTATTTGTGGTTTAGCTTAGGTGGCGACATCTTTGTACTCATACTTTCTAGAAATGGTCAAGTGAAAAGAAAGCACAAAACAACAGTTACTGTAACGTTTTCTACATCTTTCGGCTTTGTGGTGTTACAGGTTTGCCTATACCTCATTTTTAAAGTCAGGACATTCTTTTCCTCAAACTGATTTGGTAGCGTCTTCAAACGTGTTTAAAATTTCCGCCAATGACATCACGTGTGGTATTCTGTTGGCTACCGCCCATCAATCATCTTTTTCATTACGTTCCTTATTATTAGTCTAAAAAAGGCAGTTAATTGTAGATAGGATGGACCTTAGAGGTAATCAAAGTTTCTGACAGTAGCAAACAATTGCCTGCATATTGTTAGGTCTTTACAAATACGGCCTTAAACAAAGGTTTTTTTGTTTCGTACCCATATGACATATTAGAACGAAGCTAGAACTTTTAAGATGGAATATGTGATTAATTGAACTGTCATATAAAGAAATAATATCATTTGCTCGATATGTCTTAAAATGCTTCAACAATTCTTGACGTAAGAAATCCTTTTTTACACAACTTTGCTACATTGGTTTTGGAATTTTTCCCTGAAATTCCCCCAGATTCTGGGTAAAACTAGAAATCTGTAAATAGTTTTGGGATAAACCTTGAAGACTCGTCAAAATAAAGAGATAGGGTATACATACACAAGATATAGATCCTTAGCTAGGGTGGATGCTTTTGGTTGCTATGTGTCATCTGAACTAAAATAGTTTCATTGCAGAGCGTTCATAGCCACTCTGGATTGTAACTTCAGTGCCTGATTCAAGAAGAAATGGGCTTTCCGATTATCTCACATGTGTTATATCAACTCACTCTAATGACCTGTTTTGAGATTGGCTTTCTTGAAAAACTTTTCTTATCTTCATTTGTCATTTACATTGATGTTGGCTGTCTTTACCGGTTGACGTCTGGACCTCTTCTATGTATATGAATAAATATGACTCCTACTAAGTCCATTAACTAATTACTGGTTTATTCATCATTGATAATGAAATGAGCAATATTATTTACATTATATAACTCCGTAACCAGAAGTTAAAAACAATTAGACAGTTTTCCTATTTTACAATCTTGACATAAAATCTTTTTTATTATAATGTCATCAATATAATTGTAAATTTTAATTATCTGCTCATTAAAAATATCCAATGAATGTTTATTTTGTTCTTTCTTTCTTTTTCTTCGAATAAAAACATCAACTTTGATTTTATGCAAACTCTCTAGTCAAAGTTTTGTTGATGAATTAAATAGGTAAGTTAATTTTATTCGATATTTAATCACCATAGTGCTGATATTTATTTTGTGGGTTTGAATAAATATAGATTTATCGGTATACATCAAGTATACTAATCGAATGATCCTGAAATCTTAAGTGGTTTCATCCAGTCAGAAAATAACAAGTATGAATGATTAGTTTATATTAGAAAATGATAGGATTTATTGAGAAAACATTAATATTGTATGACTGATGAATTTTCTAATTTGGCTACATGTTTTTAAACATTGAGAAGTTAAGTTTAGAATCAAAGGTCAAGATTAGGCTATGTACATTATAACTGAAAACTTTAACCCTAACATCTTAACCCTAAGCCCTAATTAGAAATTGAATCCTAATCGTGGTAAAGATTGTCATAAATTATCACTCTGCTTTATACTTCTTTAAGGTTGTTCATAATCATTTCTCTCTTACAGTCACAATCGATTATTCGTTGTCAGTGAGACTTTAGTAACTGATGGTTAGAGACTTTGAATGACATGGCTCAAAATCGTTTGTAATGGCACAGGTGCATTCATTATTTTGTCTTTTCTCAAATAATAATCTTCTGAATTTCTCATGACCATCATCCTCCACTTATTTCACTGAATTATGTTCCTTGTATAATATCTTTGAATCCTAATCTTTCCGATTACTGCTAATACTTCTACTACCTCTACCACTATGGGATTTGAATTGACCGTTGTGTCTCTGATGTACGTACGTACCAAGTTCTCCATTTTAGCTGACTGGATGACTGATTCGTTTTCAATAATATAAAGACATTTAAGTACTGAATGATTTTTCGTTCACTAACTCTAACCAAAATACTCTCGATATCTAACGTTTTGGTTTGATATGTACACTGTGAAGTCAATTTCCAGGGTCTGATTGGCTCACTTTCATGTTGAACGATTTATTTGATACATTAACGACTATTATCTTCATAATTATGTAAAAAAAAGACTGTTTTCGGCAGTTATCAGTTTTCTCCAGTACTTACAGAGATACACATTAATCAATTTTACATTCGCATAATTGTTAAATTAATTCAAAAGGGTTGGTCTTTTGTTCAGTAAGCTAAAATCCATCATTTGCCGAAACTTTATTGTGACTATCATTTTTCTAGAATAACTGTTGTAAATTTAACAATGAAGCATAAAATGTCTACGCTTTTTCTTCGGGTTATTATTCCAGTTTATAATAATCGATAATTGCAATGAATTATTATTATTTTATTTACAAGGCGATTCTACTCACTTACTTTTTCACCGAACGTTTAAAATGATTTTCAAAAATACCAGGTTAATTATTACATCACCGACGAATTGAATATGAGGGATAAATAAAAAAAATACTACAGGATTTTCCATATTCCAGAAATTTTACAAGTTAATGCTACATAAATGACATCTGTCTACACTCGGATTATAAGAAAGATCTCGTTTCTTGTTTGTTTGTTTGTTTGTTCACATTAAGAACATTGTATTTTCTAGTGGATATAATATGCTTCTTAACAAGTGTTATTCATCATTAAATTTGTTGTTGTTGTTATTGTGATGTAATTTTCTTCTCTTTTATTTGTATAGACATAGAGCTTTAATCGGTGATTGTCTTGCTGCACTTGCATCTGCATTTCCTGTAGCTTTTCTAGAAGCTAATTTAAATTCAAATAATCCTCTTTCAATTTCATTCAATAATCGTGGTGGTGATTATAGTCTTGAAGCTAGAGGTTAGTGATTGTATGCTCTGAATCAAGTATGTGTAAATGTAGGAGGTAGTGAACATAACTAAAGTTGTGTTTTTATAGTGCAGTTGTCATCAAACAATTAAGGGAAACGTATTTTTAAATGAAGCTTTACTAAGGGAGAACAGTTATGATTAATGTGGTTGTTATTGCTGCTTCATTGTGTTAGTTAGCTATGAGATATGTTGGTTGAAATGATTTTATCGAATCCCCAATATTCCATAAAGGCTGTTTGGATAGAGTTGACACTAGAACTAATACATCATATCCAGTAAAATGTCACAGCACAATTTCAGTACTTCTTTACTGACCCACTTGACTGCGAAAATTTATGATCGTTGACTAAACATATTTGTAGTCATGTAATATCAGAAGTCAAGTTTGATGAATGTGTTTAAGACAAATGAATTCTGTACACTCGTTTAAACAGACCTTTACTAAGAGTAATAAATGTATGAGAACTTTATTGTTGAAAAACTGAATTATTCCTTGTCTAAGTTTGTAGATATAAGAGGTCCAGCGGATAAAGTAAACAAGTAAGTTCAGATATTTACAGACATCACTCACACACATAAAAACGTATAATATGATTAGTAGAATTAATAAAGATAAGTGACTGTGAACCAAATAACTAATCAGATAATAGCGATCTATTTAATATCTTCAAAGCTAGAATGATTTCAAACACATATAAACAAGGCCACCACAGTTCATACTGTTCTTTGTATCGGAGCTTAACCGCAGTAATTTGTTACTTAAGATGTCTCCTGTTGATACTCAAAAAATTATTCTCAGTTGTTGTTCTGTAATTGAAAGAAATGGCCATATAG